CCTTCCTTAAGTCGCCTTCCCCGAGGACGACAGCGAGAGTGGTTTCCCCCAGGGGGCGACTTCCGAGCCATTAAATCTAAAGAGCGAAGTGTGGAGAGTTGAGAGTTCAATGTCGAGTTCCATGCGTTTAAGACAATCGAAAAAGATCACATTCACCGAGCTCCCTGTGTCGACAAAGATTCTCTGGACTTCGTAGCACGATATCTGGGCTGTGATCATCAAGGCATCGTTATGAGGCCTCTCAACTGCTCCTATGTCGGCTGGCCCGAAATTCACCACTGGACCATCTTCTTCGACCTGCTGCTCTTCGGTTTTCCCATGATGGCCTCGAGCATATGCTTTCCTAGCCCGGTTTGAATCGCCATCAGTTGGCCCTCCAAATATCATATGGATTACTCTTCTTTTTTGGGGAAGCTCTTCCTTATCGGGTGTTCTCGCCCTCTTGTGGGGGCTTTTGCTCCTCTCCCTTCGTCGATTGGGTCGTTCTCGATCTTTATAAACGAACTCCTTCAGATGGCCTGCTTTGATTAGTCTCTCAATTTCATTTTTCAAGTGTCGACATTCATCGGTGTTATGGCCGTAGTCTTTGTGGAATCGACAATACAGGTTACTTTTAGGTTTTGTCGGCCCGTCCTTTCTCGTTTGTGGCCACCTGACAATGTTGTCACGGATTTCTCTCTCCATAACCTCTAGTATCCTTCCACGCGAGGCCGACAGAGGAGTATATTGGGCTGTCCTCCACCCCCTTGGTCGTCCCTCTCTCTCGGCTCTCGGGGACCCTTTCCTTTCAGTTGTCGCGGCAAGCTTTTTGTCCTTCTTCTCGTCCCGAGGCTCAGTTTTTGGCTTAGCCGCTTGCAGAAAGTCGGCTTCGGCTTCCTCGACATTCATGTATTTGGCGCACCTTCCCAATACTTCATCAAACGTCCTCCCGGGCCGCTTTGCTAGGGAATTTCTGCACAATCCCGGGAGTAGCCCTCGAGTGAGTCCTCCCGACTTGATCTCCTCAGTAGCCGAGGGGACATCGACACATGCCCTTGTGTATCTCGCTACGTCGTCCCTTAGTGATTCCCCTTCCTTCTGCTGCATATGTAACACCCCACCTTACTAGACCAATCAGAGTAGCGCATTTAATCGCAAAGTCTTTGAAAAACTAAAACATTTTTACTTTGCGAAACTTATTTGGGGTGTTACCGTGAAAATCGTTACTTAACTTTAGAAAACCGTTGTTTTAACTTATTAAAAACGTCCGGTTATTGAAAAACTGTGTTAACTGAAAAGTTTATCAAAATATGATAAAACCGTCAAAATCATCAAAGCATCGTCAAAAGATAGTCAAAAGTATGCGGAAGCGTAAATCTTAGTTATACAGTCCAAAACACATATATATAAATGTCCTGAAAGTCCCGATCAGCCTCCGTCACGTCA